TCAAGGCCACCCCCGAGGACTGAGATCGACCTGATAGACTCAGTCCAGGCAGGTCCAGTCCCCTCCTCCCAGATTGAGCCAAGCGTCCCTGCATAAGTCCCAGGTTTCAAACAGCTATCTCATGCAGCGAGCCCAGGACCTGGTACCACTGCCTAGCTGCCTCCCAAACAGATCAAGCCAATCAACTGTCTCACCTATTCAGAGGGCCTGATCCAGTTGGGGAACCCTCAGCTTTTGGTTCATAGTTCATGTGTTTCCATTCATTTGGCTATTTGTCCCTGTTCTTTATCTAACCTTGGTTTCAACAATTCTCACTCATATACACCCTCCTCTTTCTCGCTAATTAGACTCCCAGCGCTCCACCCAGGGGCCTAGCTGTGGATGTCTGCATCCAGATTCCTCAGTCCTTGGATGGGGTTTCTGGCTACTCTGGTGATGGGATGGCAATTCTATGAAATATTTATCAGATAATACTTACCAGTTATTCACAGGCATTTCTAAAACTTATGAAACTTGGAGAAAGTGCAAAATTGAATCTGGTTGCTTCTATTGCCCTGTTACTAAAATCAGAATATATTTTGGAGAGGAAAATTGTATAAAAATGTGACTTAAATATACCAAAGTGATTTTATCAGTAAAACACTTACCAACTGAATGCAGAAACATGAAAAGAATTCTGTTGTAGGCTACCCAATGAGGCACAACACAGAATAAATCTAAGTCACACAAGCAATCAAAGATGGAATACTTTGAAAAATCAGGGAAAACCTACCATTCCTTCCTAAGAAATGTTCTCAGAAAATTAGGATCAGCAGGGATTTCCCTTAACTTTATAAGAATTCTTAATGGAAACTAAGAGCTAACATAGAAATTGAAGGAGTAAGTCTTTACTTAGACAATGAGAGTTCTCTCACTCTATCATTACTTCTACTCAGTGACTAGAACCAAAAAGAAGGTATATATATATATATATATATATATATATATATATATATATATATATATTATACTACAGCATGAATACACACAAAATACATGAAAATAAATTGTAATTGTCTGCTCTGGAGGCTTAGTCATAGAAACACAAGTTTGAAAGCAGATTGATTATTAGATAGAATCTGTTTAAATATTAAGAACAAATGCAGTGTTGGTGATGAAAGGCATAGCCTTTTGCATACTAGCCGAGCACCATGTCATAAAGCTCCAACTCTAGCATCTGGGCTTGAGGAAGAATCTTGATTTAATGTAGGATAGGGCAAGAACTGAATTCTTCCCACCTCTATTGCCCTACTGCATGGATTAAAAATATTCCTCAACACTGTTGATACAGTCTTGTTCCTCTACTTTAGTGTTTTCATATCTAATGTAACAAATAATACCAATGGTTATGAAGAAAACATCATTTGCAAAATAATCAAACTAAATAATCATGGTCCAACTACTGCACACTGGTCCATCTGCTCATATAATGCTCACGGGGTATGGTCAAGGAAGAACTTGATGCTGAAAGTCAATATAAGGAATATTATGGAGCAGGACTTTTGGGGAGAACAATGCAGAGGGTCTCCCAGTGATGAGATAATCCTATATTCTGGACATTTACTTTTATGATCCAATAGATCCACTAATTGGCATTTCTTCCTACAACTATTTCATTTTTATATTACACTAAGGTCAATGTAGGAAGGTAGGCCCAGTTTCTCAATGTTCACATTTTATGCAATTTGTTGCTTTTGGAAATGTTTTCAGACATCCTTTCTTCCATCTTAGTAACACAGACTGTCCTGGTTACAGGACTCTATGGCTCAGTTTCCAGAGAATTTTGACTGTTCTACATAATATGCCTGCACAGTCTTACCTCTCTTTTTCCAGTTTACTTTTAACCCAAACTGTGAAATCTTTCCATACCCCCATTTTTACTCTATCATGATGTTTTTGCTGCTCCTCTATGTCCTACTTAGTAACACTCTATTAATAACTAGATCCACCATGACTTATTTCTTACTTTTCCCCTTTATTTCTACTTATACCCACAACATATAACATGTATAGAGAGAATGGAGTCTTCCTTTTCTCCATAATACAGTTGGCCCTTAAAGAATAACTAATGACTATTTTGAAGTCAACTGCTACACTAATTTGATAGTGGGTTTGATGATTGATGATAACTATTGTTGCAACTACTGACCACCTACCAGAGGATCACTGGAAGAAGAGATTGGAGCCCTGAACACAAGCCTAAGAGAAGAAAACATCATTTCAACCCTACTACAGCCAAGTCTTTCCTGAACATTGAAAAAACTCCAAATGAAGGGAGAAAGATGAACACATGACTATCTCCTGAATTAATCCAAAGGAAGCACCAAAGAATGAAAGATATAAGGGAATTGAATCTAGATATTAAAATGGAATTTGATAAAGAGATAGATATACATAAGGAAAACAAAATGAAATGATGATAGAAATTAATGTTTCATTAAGTCAAATACAAATTTCAGTGCAAAAGATCAGAAATAGAGTGGATGACATAGAAGACAGAAGATGAGGGCATGAAGACAAGGCAGAATAATAAGATTATTCAGTAATGAACAGTGATCACTTTGTTAAACAATTGTAAGTTTGAGTATATAAGAAAAAGTCTATGACTTTCAACATAGAGCAATGACAAGAATTCCATGTCAAAGGCATAGAAAATATTATCGATAAAATCATAGAAATGAAGTTCCCAGAATGAAAGAAAGAAATGATCATCAAGATCCAAAAGTAGATAAAGAGTATTACACAGATAAAAAGACCAGAGAAGAAACTTCCCATTATACATTAAAAATAAATGTGAATACAGAGAATAAAGAAAGTATACTGGAAGCTTTGAGAAGAAGGACAAAATCACATACAAAGACAGGTCCATGAGCATAACTCCTGAATATCAAAACGGAAAACAAAATGCCAGGAAGGCATAGAAAGTTGTATTTCATGTTTTGAAAATAAGAACTACTGAACAATATATGTATAATATATATACAAACATATAAAAATACATATATATTAAATCCTTACTTATTATCAAAAGAGAAAAAGACCTCTCCATGCTATGTCATCCTATAGAATTTTTCACAATGAATTCTGCTTGCATTACATAATATAAAGGTCAGTTTGGACTGAGAAAAAAGCAAATACAGACAAGGGGCTAGAGGAAAAATAATGATACTAAGACAGCTGTTAAGAAAAGAGGGCCAAGACAATGCCAGAGAGGAGAAAAACAATAAAATGTCAGGAATCAGTGCATGTTTTCAATAAGAAGTCTAAATATTAAAAGTCTATATTTCTTTATCAAAGGACACAGAATAATGCTGAAGATAGTGATACATGCTTTAACCTCAACACTCAAGAGCCAGAGGAAAGCAGATCACTATGGGATTCAGAAAAATCTTGTCTACATAGGCAGTTCTAGACGAGCTAGGAATACATGGAGCCTGTCTTTAAATAAAAAGATAAGTAAATAATACACAGACAAGCAGATGGGATTAGCAAGCATAATGCTTTGTCTTGACCCTAAGAAATGTACCTAACCACCAAAATACTAATGTAGGAAACAAGTGTGCATCAATATTCCAATATCAATTTAAATCTAGTCACAAGGATGTAGAAAATCACTTTATACACTCTAAGAAAACCATTCACCCACACAAAATTGCTACTGTAAACATATATGCATCAATATGTGCAGTCCATTTCATAAAACAAATGTTATCAGATACAATGTCACAGAATAAATCCTGCAATATAATTGTGAGTGACTTCTACATTCATTTTAAAATAAATACACTATTCATAACAAATTAACCAGAAAAATATTGGAAGTAGATCACATTAATTTAACTTTGCTTCAAGTTCCATTCAAGAGATGGAGGAATGATTCAATATATGTCAATGAATAAATATAAATCATGACATTAATGGCTCAAAGACATAAATCACCTAATTATCTCATAGTTATCAAAAAGTATAAAGTATGTGGCAATGATGGATAAACATATATGATATTAAAATTCAAAGGGTGATAAAAGAACCAGATTATACAAGAGTGAAGGTAAGATGAGGGAGATAATAATTGTGTATGGATATGCTGTGAGGAACCTCTTTAATTTGTATGCTAATTAAAAGAAATCTTAGATCTTAATATAGTTGAAAATAGACTATATACCTTCAGAGAAAGCCAATGGATTGAAAAAGTCAAATATAAAAAGCTTTCTGGTGTTTTTCACAAAGGGATCCTGGGGGTTATTGAGGGAATCCACCTTCACTCCAAATAAGGCACCAGTGATCACATCCATGCTGTAGGCCCCAAAGATGCTGAGTAGAGAAACAGGTGAGCTAATGTATTACTCATACAACCTCTGATGTATGAGGCAATTTGTCTGCAATATCATCAACACAGCCTAATTTTACTATTGTGGTATTTTCAGAAACCAACATAATTGTACTACCTACACCATTTCCAGAAACTTCTCCCTCTTCAGTTGGATGAAATAGCAGCAGAAGTAGTTTGTTTCCTGCTGATATTTTTCTAAAACACTCAGCAACTCCTGATGATTTAGATTGTTGAAACTTACAGCTATAATATTCTTGCCAAACCAATGAACTCTGATGTAGCACATAAATCCTCCTCCCACATTTCTTAATCCCCACATCCGCAGCTTTCCTAAATTTGCTTCTTTCATTCTAAACTATATAACTGTCTTCTAAAACATACAAGATGGCAACAGATAACCTAATTTTATCTCATGTACACAATGGAGAGAGTCTCAAATGGTATTGTGGGAAATTTTATTTAATGTGTGGGTTCACAGCAGGATAACATCATGCCTCTCCCTTACTCATGATCTGGAATAATTTTAGCTACCTGTCAGGCAGAGGGAGGTCACCAGATGGGGCACAGAGTCCCCAGCGAATACATACATCACTACTCACTCTTTCATGGTAACATTCTTGCCCTTCGCTACTTTCTGACTCATGTTTTTCACCAGCGCGTCTCCATATTCTTGGATAATGGGGAACATCTAAGCACAAAACACAACATAGTCTCCTGATAAATGACAACATCTGAGTTCCCAAATAACAAGTCTTTGGAAATTATAAAGAGATCATCATATTTTTTAAAGGACTATATAAGAATAAATAACAACAACAAAACAAAAAAGACCATCCTTAACAATGTAATGATCAAAGCAACATCTCTCTAAATAGTATGATATTATTTCTACCAGTCCTTCAATAGATTCTATTACAGTTACAATAAATGTTCTTCATTAACTTACATCCTTCAGTTTTCCACTGCTGAAGGTTGGAGTCAGCAATGATCGAATTCTTTTCCATTCTTCATTCTTAGATCTTATTATACCTTTTTTCATAAATCCATCTGGGCCAAGAGACTACAATACCAAGAAAAATAGATTTTTGTCCTCCATTAGATTTGTTATCTTAACAGTTATAAAAAATGTATGAAATAGACAACATTTCTTAACAGCTACTTATCCTCTTCTAGGTGGCAGGATTCATGCTAGTCTCTCAATAACAGTTCCTCAAACTGGGGCTGGAACAATGGCTCAGTGGTTAACACCACTTGCTCCTCTTGCAGAGGACTCTGGTTCAGTTCTCAGCAACCACTTTAGGTGGTTCACAACTGCCAGTAACTGCAATTCGTAGTATCTGATGCCAGCTTCTTTTCTGTGAGTACTTGCACACATGCAGTACACATACATACACTCAGGCACACATATGTAATAAATAAAATATGTAAAATTCCTCAAAATTAAATATACATACAACCATCTCTGTAAGATAAAGCTATTATGTTATAATCATCATTTCAATATGATTCCTTCTGTACCATATATGTCTTTCTATGTGAAAAGACAGGTAGGAACCCAAAATTATTCTCCAAGTTAGTATAGAAAAATAGATTTCTTAGGTTTCTATTGCTGTGATAAAACAATGAACAAAAGCAACTTGTGATGTAGAAGGTGTATTAATCTTACAAATCTCAGGCCACAGTCTGACACTGAGAGAAGTTAACACAGGAACCTGAAGGCAGGAACTGAAGCCAAAGCTTTGGATGAATGCCTCTTACTGGCTTGCTCACTGTGGTTGCTCAGCCTAGTTTCAAATACAACCCAGGACTAACTGCCCAGGTTTGGCACCAACCACAGTGAGTTGAGCTCAGTCACTAAACATTAAGAAAGTACCCCACAGCCTTTCTACATGTAAACTGATAGTTGCCTTTCTCAACTGAGGTTTGTCTTGCTCACTATGTCTAGGTTTGTTTCATGTTGCCAAAAAGCAACCAGCGCAACAGGGTACATATAGGAGGGCTGAAGGGTCATATCACTTTGCATGCTATGAATGTGTTGCTCTGATTAGTTGATAAATAAAATGCTGATTGACCAGTAGCCAGACAGGAAGTATAGGCAGGATAAGCACACAAGGAGAATGCTGGGAAGAGCAAGGCTGAGTTGGGAGAAACCACTCAGAACACGTGATAACATATAGATTAACAGAAATGGGCTGAGTTTAAGTGTAAGAGCTAATCAGTGGTAGGCCTGAGATAATGGCTGAGCAGTTTTAATAAAAATAAGCCTACATATGTTTACTTGGGTTTGAGCAGCTGAGGACAAGGAGGGACACAAGAAAACTTTCAGCAACAGAGGGCTATAATGGTTAACTTTTCCTTAAACCAGTTTGGCACTTACAAGTATCTTCAGCTTAAAATATCTGTTCTCACGTTTTACTATATCTCAACCTTGTGACTAGCTATTGCAATAAGGGAAAACGTAAACTAAAAGACATGTTGATTTCATTGGAAGTAGAAATATTTCCATATTCAAGTTATGTTATTAACCATGTGGAACAAATAAAGATTATACACAAAAATTTAAGGAAATTGAAAGTAACAAAATACCTACAACCTCTCACACACCAGGGTCAGGGAACATTTTGGAAGACATGATGAAAAGGCTGCTAGAGCCAGAGGAGTGCCACAAAGGGCTGGACTCTGGGCGTGACTTGGGTATGACTCACATGGACTCACTGTTGCTATGGTTATCCCCACTAGCACTCTATAAGGCCAATCTAATTTTAAAAATCCAGCACAGATGGGAAAGAGGTTCGGATTATCACCGTCCCTATCTGTGGAGCTAATAATAGTAGCAAGAATATTTTCCATGTATATCTGTAACACATCTCTGCTGAACATGTGTAGTGCCTGAAGTGCCCAGAAGAGGGCATCAAATCCAATGAGATTGGATTTAGAGATGAGTTTCAGTACTATGTGGCTACTGGAATTTGAACCCTGGTCTTCTGTGATAGCAGTTAGTTTTCTTAATGCCTGAGCCTTCTCTCCATAAGCAGCACTGTAAATCATGTCATAGGCACTAGTGTAGAAACTAATGTTTGTAGCACGAATCTCTAAAGTTCTTATTAATAAAATACTCAGGAGCCAGATATTGGGGTGAATGCTGAAAGATCAGAGAAACAGAACAAGCCACAGCTAACCTCACCTCACCTCACCAACTTCTCACCTGATCTTGTTTCCTCAGACTGAAAGCCTCTGAGTCCTCATCCGAATGGATCTCAGCAGAACTGCTGCTAACAGCTCAAATCTTTAAAAGGGTCTAGTTCCTGGTCCTCATGCCTTATATACCTTTCTCCTTTCTGCCACAACTTCCTGTGTTTAAAGGCATGTGTCATCATGCCTGGCTGTTTCCAGTGTGGCTTTGATCTCACAAAGATCCCAATGGATCTCTGCCTCCTCTGGAAAGCTAGGATTAAAGGTGTGTGTGCCATCATTTTCTGGCCTCTATGTCTATCCAGTGGCTGTTCTGTTGTCTGTCCCCAGATAATTTTACTAGGATGCACAATATATTGGGGAACATAATATCACCATGACTATTGTTGCTATGAAAAGGAATATGATGATAATCGAATTGCATTCTAGATTCTTATGTTTATAACCTCAGATTACTGCTGTCAGATTTGTCTTAGAAGTTTCATTTTACAATGGCCAGAGATTAATATAGAAATTTATAACTAGGCAATGTAAAAAAAGGTGTCTTCAAAATGCTCACTCCTAAATGTGACATATAATTCACTCACTCAAAGGCTCAGGAGAGATTAAAAAAGAGAGAGGAGCAGATGAAATATAAGGACTGGACTGGGGAAGTGGCTCACTGATTAAGAACATATACTGCTTTTGACAAGGACCTGAGTTCAGTTTCTAGAACCCCAGTCAGTTGAGGAAATTGCCTGTGATTCTAGAACCAGGGGATCCAACACTCTTTTCTGGTCTTCATGGACATTTTACTCATATACAAAAACACATACACATATTTAAATAAATATAAATAATGTTTCTTAAACAATTTAGGATATACAGTAAAGGTAGAGAGTTATAAAAAGTTCACTTCTGGTCACGAAAAGGTCTTTGCACTCTTAAAACCCAGCAATTGTGATTAATGGCCCAAGACTATTCACAGGATAAGATCTTTCAGCATTCTACCATGGAGAAGGGAAAGGTTCGTATTCTGTCTCCCAGTGAGGATTTATAAATAGATAGTGGGAACCAGAGAAGAAAGAACCATTTACTTCAGCAGTGTAGAGAGTGATAGGGTCTCTATATTCCCACAAATAACTCTCCAATGTATGTTCTCTTGTAATCAGTACTTACTAAATTCCCTGAATCACCAAATATTTGAAATACATTAGAGTAAAAGGAAAAATAATTTAAGAGAGGAAGAGGAACAGTAAGAGTGTGAGAGAGACAAGACTAGGTAATAGGAAGTGAATATAAGCAATATATATATTCATGTATTTTATATCCATGTTAGCATGTATTCTATTTATTGCAATAATATCATAATAAAAATTATAGTACACACATATATGAAACAAGAAAGATATAAAAATAAGAATTAGTATCATTACTCATGTGCACATACCCACATAATTTTAAAATTAAAAATAAATCTTATAAAAATAAATAAATAAACAAATAAGTGATACAAAAATTCAACACAGTGGTGCTGTGTGCTTTAAGCTCAGCATACAGGATGGACAGCCAGGTAGACATCTGTGAGGTCAACATCAGCCTTGACTACATATTGAGTTCCAAGACTGGCAAAGATACTTTTGAGACAGTGTTTGAGAACAAGTCAGCATGGCTTCATTATACAAGTACTAGAGAGAGTAGGAATGACAGAAATAGACATTAAATAATATATATTGTTCATATCAAATTCATAAATGCTTTATATTACAAACTCACAGCCAACTTTATCCTCAATGGAGAAAAACTCAAGCGATACCATTAAATTAAATTAAAATCAAGAGTGAGACAGGACTTTCCATGCTCCCCTCTCTTTTTCAATAAAATCCTCAAAGTGATAGCCAGAGCAAAATAGCAAAAGAAGAAAATTATAGAAAAAAATTAAACTATCCTTATGCAGAATATATATATATGTATGTGTGTGTATGTATATATATATATATATAATTTCATATATATGTACATATATATATATAATTTCACCAGAAAAAAATGTTGAAATGATGAGCAATTTCAATAAAGAGGCAGGATACAAAATTAGCTTGCAAAAATTAGTAGCCTTTATGTACACCAGCAGGTTGAGAAGAATATCATGAACACATTTCCACTCACAATACCTTCATAGTATAAAATAGACCTTGAAATGAATCTAATCAAATAGAGGAAAGAACACTACAAGGAAAGCTTTAAATCTCAGAAGAAAGAGATTGAGACATTACAAGATGGAAAGACATCCTTTGATTCTGGAATGGTGGAACTGACAATGATAATAAATTATGATAATTCTACCAAAAGCATTTTACACATTCAAAGAAACAGCAAGAAAATCACCACAACATTCTTCACAGAACAAGAAAAAATTCTAAAATCAATATGGAATCAGAAAAGATTCTGGATAGCCACATAAATCCTTAATAATAAGAACAATGTGGGAATAATTATCATTCAAGATTTTAAAATATGCTCTACAGCGGTATTAATAAACAATGAATCTTACTGGTCCAAAAACATATGTTTACACACACACAAACACACACACACACACACACACACATATATGTATATATATATATATATATATATATATATATATAT